GGGGGGTCATTCTTAAATCAATCTTGTGTAAAATGTGTTCCCAGCCCGCAGCTGAGGATTTTTCTTATACTCCAACAGAAGTCTCAAGTAGAATTCTCAGTTAGGGTCAATGCATGAAGTATATTTCATCTGCAGTTGTCCATCTTGTATATTCAAGTGTCACTAATTTCACTGTCTTTCATGTTCATATCCAAATGAATGTTGATGGGTGGGATCTTATAACCGATGTTGCTGTTATCGTTTGCCTGCACACAGACACAACTTGTTCCTTCATCCAACTTGTACAATGACAATTGTTTAAAGAATCCAGGGATGGAGACAGCAGACTTCAAAATAAAAGTTCAAAAGGCTTATTTCATGTGCTTTTTTTTTTTTATTCAGTGCCTTTGCTTTTTATGTATATATGCTGCAATTGTATAGGAGTTAAGTCTAATTACAAAAAGGGAGAGGCAACTCATATCCATTCCCAAGATTGAAAATGATGATAAAGGTGAACTTTGACACAATAACTTCAAACCTTCCTTACCCTTTTTTAATATTTATGTGGTTCCAATGGTTTTTAAAAACAACATTGGTAATCGTATATATCATCATATATTTTTTACAGAACTTGAATTAAAACTAACTTTGCAAATATTTTTCAGGTTTACTTGCTAGATGTTTCAAGCATACTCAGAATCAGTGATTGCTGCCCTCTAGTGGTTAAAATTGAGAAATGTAACTGTATTTTTTTTACTATTTATGACCTTTTGCCAGTGTCAAGGCAGGCATTGCACAGCAACCATGAATTATTGTAACCATGGGGGTCTGCAAGTAATGATTATTTTAATTCATCAAGAAATAAATCAACAAGTAAATCAATAAGTTACTGTTAATAAGTCTCAGAAAATAGTGAAAAGTGCCCAATAGATTTTAAGAGCCCAAAATGAGATTTTAAAATGTTTTGTCTGAACAACTGACAAAAACCCAAAGAGAGTCAATGTATAGTGATATACAACAGAGGAAAGCACCACCAGTTAGAGGCGTTATTAAAATCCAAACTGATTCAACTTTACATTTACCACTCATGTTTCCATTTCAGATCAATTGTATAGATTATATTCATTCTCATAAGAACACCTTGAAATTCATTTGTAAGTTATTCCAAAGAGAAGGCTCGTAAAGCAGAGGTACAATAGATAATTATTTATTATAGTGCATTTATCAGCTGTTGACAAGATGGAAAAAAAAGAACAGAATATACATTTGTATTTCTTGCTGAGTACCAGATTATCCAACACACCGACAGATGTTTAGGAAACACCAGAATGTAAAGATGGGGAAAAAAGCCAGCAAGGATTAGTCTTCAGTTACACAAACTTTCCAAGAAACATCCAGATGTAGAAAAACAAAAACTGGAAAATGTATTTCCCTTGAGGTCAGTGTGATGATACAACCATATAGTCATCTTCACTTTGTTATGGGTGTGCATGGTTGATTTCTTAATAACTGCAGAAAGATTTGGAATCAATGGATGTAAAGGAGCCTGTTTGATGGCTGGTTGAACTGTTGTAACATTCTCACTAGTACATTTTAACTGTCTGCTGGTGATAAGTAATGGGGATGGTTATTACCTCCTAGGGCATTAAATCAATATAAATAATTATTAGAATATTATTTTTTTATTATTTATATAACAACATTCCAATGTATTTCAAAATAATGTTAGTGCACGGTTTAAGTACAGAGAGGTGGTATAACACATAACTGATGTACCTCAGATTCATCAGGTGTTTGTCATTCTCTGCTCATGAAGAAAAGTTTTAAACCACAACCTTCACTCAGGAGCAAAAATCCTTCTTTAATGTGCCGTTCATCTTGATAATTACTGAAATCAACTGATTCCTTCTTAATATGACAAGATGAGGTGTTAGCCCTGTTTAACTACCTTCTAGTTGTCTGTGGCTAATGCTGATGAATATTCTGCAAACGGCATCAGAGGGACATAGTGTAAATAACAACAGAGGAAGTGCCCTGGGTACATGCAGGGAATATATTGCCTGAAGCATTCAAGAGGCATTTACAGTGCTGATTTATAAAGCAGGTCGCACTACATGCTTCCCATTCAACTGTAATGTATTATCACGGCACTAACAAGTTGGTTAAGAGTGTGCGCCTGCCCTCTGGGAAACATCCGAGGATGAGACTTTACTCTCTGGAGGCAAATCCCAACACCAACACACAATGAGCCAATCCTGAATCCAACCAATTGGTCCCGAAAACATTTTATTCAAAAAAAGACGGCACACCTGGCACGTCAGCTCACGCTAAAGTAAACCAGGTTACATGAAACACCAACATAAAAAACAATCAAATATAATAGAAAACAACCCCTAACCAAAATAACTAAATACAAGAGAATATAAGACCACCAGTAAATAATAAACCAGAGTGGGAGCAGCTCTAAAAAAAGGCCTCGTTGTTCCAATGGCGTGAATGTAGCTGAAACCTACACAGGAAACACAAATCCACCAATGATGCTCTAACTACACTCAATACACACAGTCAAAACTTTTCTTGCCTTTTGTGGATACAGCCATGATGCATCCTTATAAACCTGTGTAGAGCCTGAGATGAAATATCAGGGTCAGGGAAGTGGGACTGAACTGGATTTAAAATGGTTCAACAAATGTAAAAACATCTGGAACAGAACATCCTGACTATTATTGTGACCTATGGGATATGGACTTAACAATTCAGAAAGAAACTCTGAAGATCCTAATTATAAGAAAGAACCAACAAGCATCCAGTGTTTGCTGCCAACATGCAAAAAACAGTTTTCAAAATAATGTGAAGTGACACTCTGTAGTAGGCTGTGTCTTGGCAGGGTGAATTACCAGTTATTAAGGTCTTAATGCCACTAGCGCATGTTTTTTTACATCAAATGTCCTTGACAGATCCCTTCGTCCTTTGCTTTGTAAACAACAGTACCTTTGGATGTGCCGACCCTGAAGAGAGGAGGTGTCGGCGTTAACTCTGTTCAAGGCACCACCACAGGGCTGCTCCCACTCTGCTCATGCATACAAACACACGCACATTCTTTCATTCATCCAAACATACCACTACAGTACACCAATGCAGGGTGGCCCGGTCGGACTTTTAAGGAGAACAGAGGAGAAAAGAGAGGGGTGAGACAGACCAGGACCAGTGTAGTCTCCTATTACACTGCAGACAGAGGTGACAGACAGGACAAGGAGTAGTGATGTATCATTTTATGTTCTTGAGCTGGTTTGAAAGCCACTCCAAACCCTCGTAGAGACCATCTCCACCTGTGGCGCATGTGGCCTGTATAAACCAGTTCCGCCGGGTGAGGTCGTGCAGGCCCAGTTTGGTTGTAATCTCAGCTGCATTCAAGGCATTGGGCAGGTCCTGAAAACAGAAAACACAACAGTCAAAGAACAAGAAGAGAAAAAGCAGCTAACCATCATTTTGCACAGATTTGTTAACGTATATAAGGTGAATCAATATACTGGATTGGCATCTGTGTTCTTAATCTGTTTATTAAAATTGTTACACTGACACTTAACAAAATGGGCTGACATCAGTTGATTCATCCATTAATCTAAAATGAAGTGGCAACTATTTTCATGATAGATTACTTAAAAATGTTTCCAGCTTCTCAAATGTGAATTTCTGGCTATTTTTTCGACTAGAAGAATCAATGAGTTTGGGTCTTGTTTCAGATGAATGTGTGTTGCACAGAGAGACCTGTAAAGATCACATCGAAGAAACACAGGTACGTATATATAAGCACAGGTATTGTTACATTCCTAAGTAATGGCCTCACCTGGGCCCTATTCTTCAAATTAAGCTAACATGTAATGTCAGGCTAAAATGATCCTGTTGGCTTCACTCTTCTATAGTTTTTTAACAACTTGTTATTATGAGTAAATGCGATTAGACTACAGTCCGATGTTGTAAGCACTCATGCGCAAATTTAATAAAAACAGCAACTGTGCTTATGATGGAAGTTTTGTTTGTACATTTCGCAAACCGTCCAAAAACAATAGTTATGTGATTGTGAAATGATGTGTTCTCATTCTGTCTGTCTTTTTTGTTAGGTTTGGTTCTTTATTACGTTGCCTATTTATGAGCTAGTAGCTATTTAACTCTTAATTATCGAAATTAAATGCCACTTGATCTGAATGTGTTCTCAATATTCAACATGATTTTATCTACAATTCATCATTCAAGTAATAATATGTCTTTACAAACAGTTTCATAGATGAGGTTTTATATGAGTGGTCCAATCCCCTGTTAAGTAAGGTCACAGGTTGACTAAGATCAGTTGACAGCTGCCAAGTTCTACAACTAAAGATGTTTTTTAGAGGAAAACTGACACAAACTCACCTGTTTGTTGGCAAAGACAAGCAGCAGGGCGTCTCTCAGCTCGTCCTCAGCCAGCATTCGCATCAGCTCCTCTCTCGCCTCACCGATTCGCTCCCTGTCATTACTGTCCACGACGAAGATAAGGCCTAACGATGGAAAAAAGGCAAAGTTTGCATGGAGGAAGTCTTTGTGTATAATGGAGTATTAATCCACCAATGGGGTTACGCTTGTGCAACAAACTTGGAGCAATGTGGAAATATCAGGACACCTCTTACCTTGTGTGTTTTGAAAGTAATGCCTCCAGAGTGGCCTGATCTTGTCCTGACCACCGACGTCCCACACTGTAAAACTGATGTTCCTGTACTCTACTGTCTCAACATTAAAACCTGTGGAGGAAAGAGAAAAACAAATAGATCAACTGTCTTAGGTTTTGTTATTGTGTCAATGTCTAAATATTCATATTGCAAGGTCTAATTCCGACCACCATGGTGGCAGTCACCATAAGCGTTAAACTACTGAAGATGTAGAGGAGGCCTCACCGATGGTGGGAATTGTGGTAACAATTTCTCCTAGTTTGAGTTTGTACAGGATGGTGGTCTTTCCAGCAGCATCCAGCCCTACCATCAGGATCCTCATCTCTTTCTTGCTAAATAGTCCTTTAAACAGGCTAAAGAACTGTCCCATTTTGGCTCACCTGCGAAAGGACAAAGGATATCCAGTGGTCAGACTAAAAATATGGTATCAAACAGAGATTATCAAAGCCTTAATGTGCCACCTTTAATAGCTGATGCTGTCTGTTAGGGAATGGCAATGTTGCTACATAAAGAAGTAAATGGGAAGGGGCTAATAAAAGTACATGAATCTATATGTATCAATCCGATAGCAAGTCTTGATGGTATATTTGTTTAACTCACATAAAATTGCAATTATCCCCGAAGAAATCACTACTTCATACCTCCAAAATAGCATCTGCAATGTGCTGCCACTGACCAGTACTGTTTTTATTGTAGCAAAAATGAAGTGATTTCCAGTTGTGTAGCGTCAGCCAGAGCTATAAAAAATGTCATTAGTGGCACTAGTGTTGCCAATTACAACAATAGCAATCATCACTTCTATACAGGGTTAGTAGGATACAGATGTTAAAATACATGAGACAAGTTGTTATGTTTTAAATGCACTGGTATCAAATCAGAACTCAGTACATGCAGAGACACAAAGTTAAAGGTAACAGAATCAGTATCAGGGAAGGGGAAAAATGGTATCAGAGCATCTGACTGACCTAACAAGCTAATGATGGCATACAAACACATGCAATATATGTAAAGTAGTTTAAATGTAAATTCAGTTTTTCTTTTATTGTGAGCTAAACTCCTTTAGACCAATCACAGCCTTGAGTTTAACTTGCATTATGTCGGTCTGAAAGGCGTTCCAACCTGAACTTAACAGTCTGGTTAAGCTACATAGTTGACACACAAGGAGGGAGCAAGGCTCATCAGTAGACGTTGAGTTTTAATAACTATACACCACTAGAGAACAGTGAAATATACCAATCAAGATGTCTTAGTATCGCTACTCCTCCTATATTTTCTTCCACCTGCTCATACAATTAAGGTTTTCTTGGGCGGTTTGTTGACAACTAGAGAAAACCTGCCTCAGCTTGTTCTGCTAAGCTGTGTATTACAGGCGGTGAGTGCAGTGGAGAAAAGCACCAGTATGTTTTAAAGAAAAAAGAAAAGAGCACATTCTTTGAGCTGATAAATACGAGAGCCAGCAACTATGTTCTCTTGCAATGTTAGATTCTGGACAACTGCATCTATTTTCAGTAATAAAATGGATATCACTGCTTCTTCTACGACATATTTCTGTCTGTACGGTTGTGACAATGATAAATGTCCAGTCAGGAAAAAAGCCCTTGGGTTCCAATTCCAATGGACTGACACCAAGTCTTAATAAGAATAAAAATCAATGTTACAATTTTCCAAAACTCTTTTTCATTGTTCAACGACTAGTCTAAAACCAAAAAATATATAATTTAAAAGCATATATCCACAATTCAGGAGAACAAAACTGTGGGTTTTTTTTTATTTTAGCTTAGAAAGCCAATACTAAAACCTGCACTTTCTTATATTTTTGGCTTGTGACAACTTAAAGTTAAGATGTGTCACCATCAGTAGCATGTAGGTATTTATCTAAAAAAGAGTAGATGAATGAATAAGGGTTCATAACCTAATTTTTGTTCTGTCTAGCTGTAAATCCTATTGAAATTCCTCACAATCTAGGAGTCACTGACGTGAACAGTTAAATAAAATTGTTGTAGATTTATATTCTGTCAATCAACTGCTTTTGATCCAGTGACGACAACCCACATTGTAAAATCTTCGGGGACAAAACTGGAAAAGTGGCTTAACACTCATTATCCAGCTACTGAGAGGCAGCTTATGTGATCACCGACACCAAGGAGAGTGAACTCCATCATTATTACAAAATAACTTACAGCATTTTCTTGTGACCAGCAGCTGAGGCCGATCATGTCAGACACGCTGCAAAGCCAGTGGACACAAATCCACCATTGTCAAAAGACATTTCATTCAACCAATTAACAGGGTTTAGTTTCGCTTCTAAGTCGAGTCTCGTTAAACAGGAATGACAGGTTTCTCTCGGCACGACACGAGCACTTTTTGAATAGTAAAGGAAAGGAAAGTCTGAGGTTTTGATCTAAACTGAACAATAACACCTGGCTGCTGTTGATGAAAATTTTAATTCAAAGAAAAAAATAAGAATGTGTCAACTTGTATTTGACAGTTTACAAAGTTATAGTAACGCAACAAGCGTGTGTCCTGTATTCTACTGCCCGTTAAACCAAGTGTCAGCGCAGCATTCATTTAAATTACAACAAGGCTTCGGTGTTGTTGTCGCTGTTTGAGTTGATATTGACAGGTAAACTTCTGTTAGCATGTAGCTGGGAAGCTAGCAGAGCTTCGTTTTAGGACTCACCACCGATATTAAAGCACAGAAAGACCTGCTTGAGAAAACATACTACGGTTATTGTTACACCTTCTGGTTGTCGTTTCACAATGAACACTCAAATGTTTTAAACTTCTTAAAGACGAGCTAGTTCAAATGCTAAGGAAATAGCTAACGAACTTCAAGCTTTAACTCCGTACGGCCATCTGGCTGTAACAGTGGAAATGTTGACAGGCTCGCGGTCTCTACCCATGTTTAAATTTGAATTATACGCTCGCCGCGTGGATGTGAAATGTTGTAAAAGGAGAATTTTACCTTTTCTTGGGCTTTGAAGTACTTTGCTGCTGCGCTGCTCAAACAAAATGGCGTTGGCTGACGTATCGTCTTCCTCGTCATCATCCGCCTACTCGTCTTCTTCTCTATGCTTTTTAAGGTGGTTACAAAATGCGAAAAGTTGCATAACCGCCATCTATAGCTGTGGAGGACTGATCGGAATTATGTTAGAAATGTTATGGTTTAGGAAAGACATGAAGGCCAGCTAGTGAAATGTTTATATACATTTATTACTGGCAAAAACCAAAGACAACATTAAAAACGACAATAACTATACTGTCTGTAATGTCACAGTTTACTCTGTGCAATAGACTGTAAGACATTAATAATCAGTGATTAGCTCGATCACAGACGGTGACATGTTCCCCAAATTAACATGAACATGGGTAGAGTAGTTTATTGTGTACATACATAGACAGACAGACAGACAGATAGACAGACAGATAGACAGATAGACAGATAGATAGATAGATAGAGGCAGGCTATTCCTCCACTTACCACTTGTGAGCAGGTCACTCTGGAGGACGATGTTAATACCAGGTCTGAACGGTCTCATAGACTAATGCCCCTTTAAGAAGCCTGTTATTATTCCTAATAGATGTGGGTGAAGTGTAATCTCAGGCATTTTTCCTCCTTAAACTTTCTTTGTTTGTGACAAAATCAGGATTTGACACCCTTATCAGTAAAAGTTACACTCTTGAATGTGGTGGAGCCTATGTGTCACCAATTCCCTACTTAGGCTTGTTGGAGATCTGATATGAGTTAATGTAGACCTCCAGGGTGTTGCAGCTCAGTGTTAGAGTATTTAAATGCAGATCAAGAGGCCTCTAGTTCATCTCTGGATGCCCCCTACCCTTTGCACGACTGTGGCTCTGAAATCTGAAATCATGCAATGTAATGAAATGTGTTTCTGCCCTTATTTGGTTTATATGCTTTGTTCATTTTGACTACAGCATAACATTTGTCCTTGGTTGAACATCTGTCTTAAATCCACTAGATGGGGCTCCATCTTTGCTTGTCTGTGTTTTTTCCATGGAGGTCCAAAACATTCAGGGAGAACATGGAGTGTGTCTTTTGATTGGAAGAACAGACCATATGACCCTTAATAACATACTACATTTGCTTCCTTTAATTTCAGACCACATGGATCGTTTACGTCTTATGCATAGGGTTGAAAGCTGACTGCTGTGCTTTGCTGTGCTTGGTGGATTTATGCTGCGATTATAATGTAATAACTTGAGGGACAAAAATATAGGTATTGCTTTTTTTAACTTTCTCCTCTCTATGTTACAGGATTCAGCTTGTTGCTCAAGGACACTTCAGTGTGGATGTTTGCTGTCCTTAGACCTTGAACCTGAGTTTCAGACTCATGAAACCACCACGCAGCTTTTCATTTGTTAAGATTACTGATCAACCATATAGAAATTAATGCAAAAAATGAAATCTGATGGGCAAGTTTTAATGGATAGTTCGAGAGTTTGAAGTTGAGAGAGTGTGACCACAAATTAACTCTTTGAAATCAAAGAGATGCAAATGTTTAAAAACCATATTCTATTTTGATATTTCTGCCAAACCAGAATGGCTGAAGACCCAAACATCCTAATGATGAGTATCCATGTGTGTATTGGAGATTTCCATATCACAGCATTACAGTCATTCTGCAGCTTCATCCACCTGGGTGTTACAGTCCGCACAAACAATGTCCAAAGGTTACATTGTGTTTCCAGCATAGAAACATGACTGTTTACCAAAAGTGAAGCCAAAGCATCTTGATTGCCACCTTGTGGCCGGCTCCAGTACAGGTCATAAATCTAGAAATCTAGAGTATAATGTAAATAAACTTTTCTTAAAGATGGTTTCTATCATTTACGGTAGTTCTTATCCCACTGATGTATGTCCAAGTGTTAACCTGCAAGTTTCATATTAATTTGTTATTTGATGCCATAAAAACAAAGGGAAACCTAATTATTGACAGTGTAGACCGACTTGTGATTGAAATCTTAAGCCTTATTGTAAGCAGTATTTCACATTTCTATCCAGAGAGTGTTTGCTTGATGTGTTGCTTGTTAGGACGAGCAGGTGCTTTTTATTTCCCAGAGTTGTATTATGGACGTCCTTCAAGTGATGCATATCCACAAACATGAATTATGCATTAAAAGAAAGTCTACAGTATGAACAATGAAAACTGGGTGGTGGGAAAATATGTGCATTCTAACTGCATTCATGTGAAAATGTTAAATGACAAAATTATTCAGACAGGGTCTGAGAAAAAGAACAACCAATAAAATGTTACACATGTTTGCAGATGATATTCAACTTCTCGCTAACTAACATTTATTTTTTCTTCTATCAGGTGATGTGAGGATGAGTAAACAGTGATGCTGCCATGGGGGAAAGGGCTCCATTACAAATAATATATATTTGTTAGGGTTTTTATTTGTCTTTAGAATTAAATGTATTGTATTGAGTCAAGATTTATGTTTTTTGTTTCTGGTTAAAAGATGAATCAGATTAACTGTTAAGACATGATATAGATTTTTATCTATGGCAGAGTTTATGCATTGTTTATGTCATGAAATAAAATGCAATGTTGGTTGGCTGGATAATTACAGAACGTGTTGCATATTGAATCATTAATTTGAAAATGAAATGCATAAACCACACTGCACATGAAGGGAAGGACGTTCAGCCACAGCCGTGCAGGTAATTTGAATCTCTGCACAACCGTCGACAAATATTTTTTCGTCGTCTTGATTGGACGTTCAAACAACTCTCCTGCATCATCGATGAGTTTTGCTGGGGTAAACAGTCCAATGAGGGTGCGGTAATAGCGAGACAGTCCAATGAGGGTGCGGTAACATGATGTACCTCCTCCCAGCTGCGGACCACTGCAGGCCAGGCGCACCGGGTTGAAAGTTTTCGTGCGTGCGAGTGGGGCCCCTCACAGAGTTGCGCCGAGCAGACGGCACAGACTTTCTCCGAAGAAGAGTCAGCGAGATGAAGAGCAGCGCCAGGCCGGCACCATGCGCTCCAGGCTCCCACGGACCGCCTGCCTACTGCGACTTACCGCGCTCTGCATCCTCCTCTCGCACACCGCAGCTTATTTTGGGTCAGATCAAGTTTGTTTGTGCAACTTCTGCTCATCACATGTGGCTGTCGTTTACCTTTGCTGCTTTAATCCTCAGAGAACATGATATCTGAAGTCTGACCAAATTACACGGCTATTACCCACGAACTAACCATAAATGACATATATTGTTAAGCTAATTAGCTGCAGTAAACTATAATTGTTACCAACCAATGACTAATTTGGCTATTTTAATGTGATCGTCTTATACATATACATATATCACGTTGTTGTTTATCTTTAATCCTGGATATACAGCAAAAGGACTGAAATATGGGCCGCCACTTTTTTATTTAATTATGTGAGAAATTAATAATTCAGGTACTAAGACCCAAATTCGTAAAAGTATTTCACCCCAGAGGGTATTTCAGTATTTGTAAGGAATATTTGTACGTGTTATCCAAGTCCTATGTTTCTTTTTCCTCTCCAAGGCTGACAGGTCGGGAACCCTTGGTGTTTTTACCTGGTCCGTTTTCCAATGAACCTCCGACAGGAAAGGCCCACTTGAAGCAGTGCGAGCAGATGCCTCTGACCAGGCGGCAGAAGAGGCTCTGTCGCCGGGAGCCTGGTTTGGCGGAGACGCTGCGGGAGTCGGTGCGCCTCAGCCTCCTGGAGTGTCGCTACCAGTTCAGAAGTGAGCGCTGGAACTGCAGCCTGGAGGGACGAGGCAGTCTTTTGAAAAGAGGTGAGCCTTTTTATTTGGTCTGTTAGTTGCTCTTTTATGTCCTTTAATCTTTATTTGTCTGTGTCTGTTTTTACCTCAACGAGACAGGTGCATAATCTTTCATAAATCCATCACTCCCCTATAAGACATACAATGTTTTTCAGAAAAAAACATTTGTCTCTAGAATGATGCCAAAGTATAGGGTTAACACAAGTCACAAGTTGTCTAAAAATAAAACAGAAAAGTACAAAACAAAATGCTGTTTTAAAGTTTTAAGATTATTAACCTTTTTAGTTGTTTTTCTAGCCCTGTGATTGCAGACTTTAAAGTAAGATCCAATTCTACCGACAGTTTCCTTAATGCGTCACTGATTTTACAATGTAGAGATTTGCTTCAACTGCTCAGGTCAAAGAAAACTGTCACAAGAGTTGCGACAACACTCTTGTGCATCTCATTTAAACAGTCATTCCTTCCTACGACTTACTAACGCAATACCAAAGTATTTGTGACATGACACCAGCTCTCACTTCTCAGATTCCTCTGTATTTTATGCGACTTAAGATTTGCTGCAAAATCCCTGATACAACCCATGAAAAAGTTTTCCATTAGACTCCTTGCATATTTTTTGCATGGTCTGATAACCATTGATTAGAAAATAGATGTGTTCGTACTAAATCACCATATTGCAGATATAGCTCAAATCCCCTGCATATCTGCTGTGCGTAGAAAATGCTGTCGTATCCACCAGGATTTATGCATATGATATCAGTGTGTGGGTGAGCATGAACAGGTCAGCATGGAGGTAATGAGGGAGTAGAAAGCCAAGAAATGTGGTGCGGTGCAGAGCGCTCAAGCCCTGTGGTTATTTTTATCTCGGGAAAGCGCCCATTCCCAGAGGAAAAGGGTGGCGTGATTACCCACTTTCATCTGGGAAAATCCTTCCTAGTCAAAATAATAATTAATTGGATCAAAATATACCCTGGTGACGGCTCTGGGTGAAGCAAATAACAGTGTGAAACCAAAAGGAAAGGTCAGAAGAGGAGTTATGACACAGGGAAACTTGCAGTATACCGCTTACGTTGTTTTAAACCATGACGACGTAGTGAGGAGTCTGTAAACATTTTATCTTAAGGCTTCATTCAGTGGCACAGAAGACATTGTGAAGACTGGGAACTATAAATCAATCCCTGAGAATTTACACAATGTACACAGAACACATTTTTGATTCCAAGAATTGTTCTTGCGTTGAAATCTCAGTGTCCAGACAAAACTGATGTGATGCACTTTCATCATTGTTTTTACGTTTATCACAGCTTTCAAGGAGACCGCCTTCCTCCTGGCAGTGTCCTCTGCAGCATTGACCCATGCACTCGCCAAAGCTTGCAGCTCAGGCCGAATGGAGAGGTGCACGTGCGACGACTCCCCAGGCATCCAGCATCGGGAAGCATGGCAGTGGGGGGTCTGTGGTGACAACCTGAAATACAGCACCAAGTTTCTGAAGAAGTTCCTCGGCCAGAAGATGGTCAGCAGGGACATGAGGGCTCAGGTGGATGCCCACAACATCAACGTTGGAGTTCGGGTAAGTGTGGCTATTACAGCAAAAACACCCCCCTCTTTCTTTTTATGATGAGGTTGCCACCCAAGATACGCTAAAAACTACACCTGTACCTGAGCCACACTTTGCTCAATTAGCTGGCCTGCAATTTTACATGGCAATTATACAACTTGCACACTCCTGCACATCACAGGATGGAGAATTGCAATCCTCACCTGCATAATTTCTCTCAGTGCCAGCCAGACAAATGCCCCCCTTATTTGCTGCTGTCGTTGGCCTTGGTTTGTTAATGCCGAGGCAGAGGGTGAGGCGGCGTAGCAGCGAGACAAGACGACTGTGGGATCGCTGGAGCCAGGTGTTCTCAGGCATGATAAAGCTTGCTGCGCAGGCCCACAGAAAATTAAAGGTCTCATGTCGGAGAGAACGATTATAACCGAGGCCTCTTTTTAATATACGAGCAAGCATTTTTTTCCTCTTACTGGATCACTGTGCTCTTCATAAATCCACCTAATGTTCATAACCACCACTGTGGCGCTCTGAGATAGCAGGCCCCAGGGTCCTGCTGCTGCAGCTGACACCTACGTTAGAGCTGGTGGAGACGGTAAAGGAAAAACAGGACAGGAAGAACAGAGGGCCATTTATCTTATCTCATCTTTACCGAGTTAAATGTTTTCCTCACTTTTCACTAATGTGGCTTAGAGGAGCAGTGTTAACAAAAACATGAAGTGGCAGCCCCCCCCCCCACCACCATCTCCCAGTAATGGTGCCCTGAAGCCCCCCGAGGCTTTCATACCTGCAAAGGGAGGAACTGAGCAGAACTTTTCAACTCCAGAAGTACCCTCTGGCTCTCTGTGCGTGACCTGTCTCTGGCCCCCGCCAAGACAGCGGCCTGAGTGATCACGCTCCCATCACTGACCATCAAGCTCAGTGAACTATTAACCTACATCAGGGGGCACCATCACAAAACCTGCTGCTACTTTTTTTGGCACTTCTCGCACAGAAATTCTTATCAGTGTTTTCCATGAGCAGACATGTACTAAGAACAGGGTGGAGAGATTCCACTGTCTGCGCTGTTTGTCACCTCTGCCTCAGGCCTCAGGGAGGAGAGACAGGAGAGGAGCAGACAGAGCTAGTTTCAACACATTGGGAAGAAGAAAAAAAATATATAATTGCAAGAGCTGTCCAAGTGAGAAATGTGCGGTAAATGAAATACCGCATCCTGAACCGTCCCCCTCAATCCATTATGTCAAATTTTTTGGACTGAGGTGAGTTAAAGGCTCGCTGGCTGCAGACCACCACCCCTAACCCTCCACCCACCCTGCAGGAAACTGTCTCACTCTGTCCAGATAGACCTCCCAGATAAGAGGACAGGTAATGAATCAAGTGGAAGGAACTGACATCCCTCTCCTTTTCCCCTCCCATGCCTTTTTCCTCCCCATCTCAGGCGGTGAGGAGCGGCCTGAAAACAACCTGCAAGTGCCACGGCGTCTCAGGCTCGTGCGCCCTACGGACTTGTTGGAAGCAGCTGTCGCCTTTCCACGACACTGGGCGACTGCTGAAGTATCGCTATGACTCGGCAGTGCGGGTGCTAAGCGTCACCAACGTGGCCACGGGGGAGACGGAGCTCACAGGGCCCCGTCGTCACGGCCAGAGCCTCCGCACTACTGACCTGGTCTACCTGGAGGAATCCCCCAGCTTCTGCAGGCCCTCCCGCTACTCTCCGGGCACGGGCGGCCGGTCGTGCGTCAAAGACACCAGCTGTCAGAGCATGTGCTGTGGCCGGGGTTACAACACTGCCATGCATCTCACCAGCCTGTCCTGCCACTGCCAGGTGCGCTGGTGCTGCCACGTGGAGTGCCAGACGTGCGTGAGAGAGGAGGAGGTGTACACCTGCAAAACTGCATAGATATAGTGAGTCTGAAGACATACAGGGGAGTCAGTGAGGGACACAGAGTTCATCATCTGACATATCAACCCTGACTGCAGAGTAACCTCCTGTAGACAATAAACTGCTCTGGTTACACATCAGTGTCTTTGCTGAGCTCCACTTTTGAGTTTTCTTTGTTTTTGGGAGGAATGTAAAACGCTTCTAACATTATAAAATGTATTTGCTAATCATCATCGATCTGATATGCACCCGCTCACGGTAGTTGAGGATGTTTTCAAACTACTCTGCTCTCCTCTCAATGGATGCACTGATAATACCCGCTCTCCTGGGACAGAGGGAAACAAGCTCTTAGAAACAGGTACTGGCCTGAACTGGACGCCACCACCAGTACAACGTCGAGCTCTGACACTTTGACCTTGTTGTATTGTATTTTTGTAATTACCCACTTTCTGTTGACTATTTATTGTATCAGTTGTACTGCTGCTTTATACTTTAACCTTGTTTTATTTTTTATAACCCAGAGTTGCCACTAAGGCTATGCACGGCCTGAAAAGGAATCTACCTGTCTGTCTCTCTCTGTCTGCTGTGTTCTAGTGGAGAACGTGTATGGGTTATTTTCTGAGTAAAAAAAGCACTTAAGTTGCTCTGTCTGCGTTTGATTCAAAGTGTAAAGTCGATCAAATAAGTTAGAGAAAAATGTTTAGGTCTAAATATATGTATAAATACAACTACTGGAAGTTTTAAAGCCACTGATATGCATTGTAACTACATGTTATTGTGTTAAGAAACAAGCTGGGTTTCAGTTGCTCTTATGGAAATGTCTATGGAAATCTTTTCATGTGGTCTAATGTGTGCTCAGCAGAACAAAGGGAAATACCCGGCGTAGTAATGAGGGAAACACCAAACACAAAACTCCTGCAAACAAGAATGAAACACTTAGTTTGTGAACAGACCAGCTCTCCTCTTCCCCCTTCTATTTATAGAGTCACACACTCTACAATACTTTCATGTTTTAAATGCCCTGATTGAACCATTTTGGTCTTCAGAGTCTAATTTGGCCACATCTTTGTTCTCGGCGCCTTTTGAACTGGGCTCATTTCTCTTCATTTTCTCAAATAGCTAATCAAAGAAAATCACCCAGTTACATCCACAACGTGTTCATGTGTGTGGGGTCAAACGTTTAATTTTTATTGGCCAGTTTATGTTTAGCTTAAGCGATTCTGAACTGTATATATGATATGAATATAAGTCATGTCAGGGCTTTAGGCGTAACACAATGTGGAATCGTAATTTTCTACCTCACTTCATCTTTTGGCAAATATCTGTAAGATTATTGAGCAATGCTGAGTTTTTCTCTCTGTAGAAACATGTTCTTTCCTTTGCATTGTTTTAAAGTTCTGATTTCTG